TTGTTCTGAAAGAGAAGTAACAAAAGCTGCAAACATTTGTGCAGTCTGGTGTTGTAACTATTCATATTACAGATTTATAGCTTGGATTTTATGGGGACTATTAGTGTTAGCAATATAAAGATGGGAGAGGAGAAACGAATTATCTTCTCCCATCCTAAGGAACTTTTAAGGATGCACTCAGTTCATGGGAGCAGGAAGGTTTCATGGGAGAGGGTGCACTGAGGAAAGCAGGAAAGGCATTTGTGATCTGTCAAGAGAACACTAACTTTAAAGCCAACACTCAAGTTTCTGCATGAAAAGGCTTTATGAAGAATTGCAGAATTAGGAATGACGGCTGCTGCTTCAAAGAAAGAAAATGTGGAACTGAAATACGAAATTAAATTGGTAAAGGAATGGGACTGGAAACAGTGCTGAGCAAGCGGAACAGGACTGGTGGGGGTGAGCTGATTCGTGTGCGTCTGCTGCAGAGACGCATTCAGCACTTGGGATGTGAGACCAGACAGCATGATGAATGGCATACTGGCAGTCAAAAGAAGTTCAAGCAGCTGCGAAGGGAGTATTGAAAGAGAAGCAATTTGTGGATCAGACCATTTGGCTCACCAGAGGATGATTCAGTCTTTGAAAAGGGCACTGCAGAATAGCAGAGTATGGTTCCACCTCTCAGTGCAGGGCCTAGAGACAAAGATGTTGGCCCCTGGGACCTTTCGATTTGGCTCAATCCTTTTGATTTGGCTCTGCAGGGTTTCCCAGAAGTCACACCCCTGTTCTCTCTGTATGCTGCTTTGAAAAAGGAGTTGAAACAGATTGTGTTTCCCACAGTTCAGATGGTTCTGGTTGTTATCAAAGTAGCCCCCAAAGCTGGTGGGGATGTGCATGAACAGGGGAAAATGCAATCAATAGTTAACTTAATGTCAAAACAAGTAAGAATTGTATCACCAATGTCAGGTCCCTTGAAGGGTACCCCTGCAAAGTGGATGGTGAGGCTTCTAGAAACCCCAGGAGATCATTAAGGATTTTAACTTTACTGCAGACATCCACCACTTGATCCGATCAAGCAGTTTTATCAGCAACATTTTAGGAACCCCACCTCCAGCACTGGCTGTGAAGGAGTCTGAAAGCATTACTGGCTCCCAAAGTGTCGGATGGTTGTTTTATCTGGAATAACAGAAAGCTGGGAAAGGACACAGTTCAGTGTACACATGAGCACCCTGTTGTGATAAACCCATCATCGTTTCTTGGCCTGCATTTTGTGAAAGAAAGCAGCTTGGAATACACTTATGAAATGTTCTGGCCGCTCTATTTATTGTGTCTCTCGTGTTTGCACTCATCTGGGAGGTGATGAATCCCAACCCTTCTCCATTTAGGCTAATGCATGTTTAGTTGTTGGGTTTGTGTTGTTTCTCTGTGGGGTTTTTGTTTTGTTTTGTTTTTTAAAGAAAGGACAATGTTTTGTTTTGTTTTGTTTTTTTATCTGCCTTCTAGTTCTCAGCAATCCTGAAATAAATAAACCTTCCTGCTGCTCCTGCTATTATTAAGGAAAATATTCAGTAGAGCATCTCCTCTGACTAGTCCCCTGAAAATCTTACACCTTACCAGAAATATGTTAGTTTAGTCCAAGAGACGTGGTGACAGACTGCTGCATTAAATCATTTTTTTTCCCCCTGGATGTATTTATATAAATCAAGCTCTTATTTTAAAAAATGTTCTGGAGATGAACTGTTTAAAATCTGACTGCCAGCGTGAACTGTAACTTGAATATGAACACGCATTTTATGGTGTGCAATACATACCAAGATTACATAAATACGTTGCATCTTTTTAAGGATGTTAGTAGCATGTAAGGGATTTTATGCAAGTTAGCTATTTTTGTACTCAGTATTTTTTCAGTAGCTTTTTGTTCAAGCCCTAGCCTGTAGCTCACAATGCTTATAAGCCAAAGAGAGTAAGTTGGCAGGAATCAAGGAGACGGGGTATCTATCTATCTGACCTGTTTACAACAGAAGATGCATACAGAGATAGCAAAATGAGAAAGGTAACACAGAAAATATCAGGGAGAAAACAAATGAAAAGAAACAGTCAGTAAGAGCCTTTTTTAAATGTAGCCATTTGAAGATTGGGTATGAGCTAATAAGCAAATATTAATACAGTGGAAAATTAAGTGGGATGTCAACCATATGCCACCATACCAGAAGAGCCCAAAGAATTTCCCAACCAAGCTTATTTCTCATTCTCCACACAGCTGAAATGGGTAAAGTTGATGTGTTTGCCTGTAATGGAGTAAATTCATATGTGGCCATAGATAAGTATTTAGAATGCGAGTAAGAAATTTTGGTGTTCATGATCTGATTTCCCCATCAAACAGGACATAGATAAAGCTGCAGCAACAAAAATCACTATGTAATAATGTCATGCACATCATCCAGTATAAAAATGGAAAAACCCCAGTTTAAGAAAAAAATATTCTGCAATGACTGTTGCAAATGACAGGGACAGTAAGTATGTTATTAAAGCAAACAGTTGCTACTGTATATGATGACCTGTTAAGGGTTACTTTTGTTAGTTCTTCAGCTTAATCTGATGATCATATAAAAATGGAGGGAGTTTATAGGTTCTTTAAAATTTGTTTTAAAAATCTCCAAAGTACTTTCACAGAGTGAACCCCCTTAGTATAAAACTTTATCAAAGGAGTACAATTTCACATGCAAGAAAACCCAGAAGTTTTGTTTTAATGAGGAAAAAAGAATTGTTCCATTAGAAAACGAGATCTCAATCAGTTTGAATTACGCTTTATCAGAGTAGTTTGCTCCTGTTGATTACACTTCCATGCTAATGCACAGAATTTCAGAAAGACATTCCAGCACTGTAATGTTTTTAATAGCCACATTCCAGTGCATGGCCAAGGATGCATTTTAACTCCTCAAAGAATCCATTATGTATTCTGGGCTGCTGCCTACTGAATTACTTACAAAGATTTCCTCAACTGCAAGTTGTTGGAACTAGTGTTTTATAGTTATTCAGTGCCTGACTTTAAAGCATCTATGGGATACTAAATTAGTCTGCGTTTATTCTAAACTAGTGTTTTAAAGAGATGCGGCTAGTTCAGTAAAGGGGCCTACCATACCTAGGCGACTCCAATGATAAATAAAAATGGAAACTCAGTAGGTCAGGTATTTTGGAAATACTGCACTGTTTGGGAACTGACTACAATTTCTAATTTTAAAAAAAGTATGTCAGTGCTGCCTTGTCGGAATTGGCTCTTGTAGCGTATGTGATATTTCATCCCTTTAAAATAAAAACTAGAATCTCAATAGACTTTAAAAGAAAAATCGAGAGATTTGAAAGAATAGGTTCTTCCAAAAACCCCAGCCTTGCATGCCTCACTCAGTGCTCAATCACTTCACACAGAATATGAAAATCTGAGGTTCCAAATAGAAAATGATTACTCAAAAGTGAAATATGCAAGTCATCACCTAAACTGAAAATATCAAACAGTAAAACTAATGCATTCTAAATGTTCTTTCAGCGTTATAATTAAACACATTTGAAACATAAGTGATCTGATAAAAATTGTGCTTACTCTGATAATATCCAATTAGAAATTTTTGTATGTTAGCAAAAGTCACCTTCACTAAATTATGTAACATAGTCTGTGCCAAGTTCTGAAGGGGACTACAAGAGCTAACTTCATTGTGTTAAATAAGTTAATAGTCTCTAAATACAAGGGCATGCATGACTATGTAGAACTCAGGCCAAATATATGCAAACTACATTCTTTAGTTATGATTCATATCATAGCCAGTATGATGAGATACCTTATTTAAAAAATAGTAATTGGAAAAAAAATAAATAAATAAAGTGTCTGGTCTAGCCTGGTAGGTGTTCTCTGTGTCACACAGTCACCTCTACCTGAAGGAGTAAAGGGAGAATGACAGAGATTGTGACCTGATAGTGGGACTCAACAAAATGAAAGACAAATGTGGGGCCAGCAATTACGACAGTCCTTCAGTGAAGTCCTGTGGACTAGAGAGCTGTCTGAAGGTGGCTCTTACCCTGCTTTGGTGAACTCTGAAGACTGCTTTGTGTTACTTTAACTGAGGGGTTGGTCAGAAGAGCTGTCCTCACCCAAGATGACAGGTGGTGATAGTGCCAAAAAGAATTTGAACTCTGTATTTTTGAAGCATTCTGCTTTGATTACAGCTACTATCATTACCCTTCACACTGACACAAGGGCTGGTAATTTTCGGTATTCTCAGTGTTTCTCACCTTCCTGAGCACCTAGAACTGCATTGCTACATTACTTACCAAGTGAGTCTTGGTGGGAGCTGAACTCCATCTACTGACTAGCACCTTTTTCTAAGAACTCTGCATGTATTCAATAGACTCATGCCAAAAGAGACAATCTGTTCAAAAAGATAAGTCATGTGCATCAGGCAGCAGTAAGGGATTTGAAAACTACTGGTCTCCCTCGTAGCAGATATTTGTATAGAGAGCTTTTAGCGTTCACGCCAACTGGCTCTCACAGCTCCTGTACTCAGTGTATTTCTACAGCTTCAAGATGTGCCAATATATAGCATACAGAAACTCTGCATTTGCATTCAAACTGCAATGGAATTTAGACTTGCTTACCCCAGGTTAAGCCCCTCCTTGTTCCACAGAAGCCAGCAGACACTGGGGGTCTTAACTCACTGACAGACATACAGCATTATGCCTTACCTTGGCTAAGAGAAAACTTTCAAATTCCATCCACCCTTCTGTCTCCAGAGCTATCTCAGCTAGGAGCACGTATCAGTTACGGATGAGTGAGGTGTACCTCCCCTTACCTGCTTCTGGTGTATGGCAAGCTGCCTCCCATTCAGGTCAAGCTCCTCCCACACCCAAGAGCTGCCAGCACCACTGGACCACACATGCAATTGGTTTGTGGAAGGACTGGGGAAAAACAAGAGCTGCTCTTCTGACTAGAAACTGTAATTTTGTATCATTAATTAAACAAAACCAGTGAATACAGAACTCGGAAAGCAAGTTTTACTTCCTTTAGGTTTGGGAGTGCTCTGCTGTCCTGGCTGATCCTGTGGTAAGTCTACCCATGTTCAGTATTAAAATAAAAAGTAGTGACGTTTGCCGATTACTACAGCAGGTATTGTCCAGTCCTCATTTTAATGGTCTCTTCTTGAATTCAATCACAGATGTACCCCTATTAGAGGGAATCAGAACCCAGCACTCACATCTTTAGGACTTCCTATCAGTACATCAGAATGTCAAGGTGGAAATACATACAGATTCTTCACTGCGTCAAGTGCAGATGTGCAGGCTGTCAAAACAAACTTAGCAATGTAAATTCAGCCTTTCAGACAGAACACCCTCCTCTGAAACCTTATAAAAATACCAGTGCAACATAGAGCCATTTTACAAAACAAATATCTTTATAGAAAGGTATTTTAGTGGTATATGCTGAGGTAAATAATAAAAACAGACCCAACAGAGGGCATGACCAGTGTTATGGAGAACGCCGGATGAAATTTGGCCAAAAGGCTATTTGTTTTATAAAAGCTAATATTTACCTACCAGTTATGATCCCTGGTAAGGTGCTTATTGCTATAATACTTCAAAATTATTCTTCAGTTTACAAATTGAAAAATATACGAAATTAGATCTGTATGAATGTTAGGTATTAGCTGTCACAAATTTTAAAAGGCATTGTACCAAGTTTTCTTAATTGTTTACTAACCAATTTGATTGTAGCAGGTAAATAAACTACAGCATACATTTTACCTGACACCATGCATCAAAATCACCATAAAAACTAAGTTTATCAAAGTCCAACTCCACAAGGAAAACATGAAAAAGTGCAAATTATGTACCCAGTATTTCTGTCACAGCTGTTTTTTCTTAATATGGCATGAAAAAGGTTTACAGCATATATTAAGAAAATTCTTACAAGTGTTCACCTCAATGCTTATATATACAACATTTGCTCAAAGTGCTCACTATATGAAAAAACTGATTGGATAAAAATATTAAACAGTGCTTTCTGAACGTTCAGGGAGAATTCATATAATATCAGTCCCGTTTGTCTTCCTCTTCACTCAGTGCAATGAGATGCAGAAGTCACATCAACTTCATGAAAACTTTGCTTGCCACATAGCCAGAAAACCTCAGTTACAGTGGCATTCTTGGTGTCCCATTGGGAGTGGGTCTTTTGTTTTTTTGCATGTGGCTTTGATGTTTTCGAGATCTTACTACTTTCATTCGTACTTCAAATACTTCTTGTATGGCTTTTCGAAAACAATGGAAATTGTAGTCTATTAATCCTACAGAGACAGAAATATTTTTCATATTACTAGAGACATTTATACAAATTAGGTCATGAAAAAATTGCTTATGTCCTACATTTAGGGAAACATCACACTGGAGGTCATAATCAGTGAATTTTACAGGGTTTTTTTTTGTGCTAAGCAAAAGCTTGTTTGATAAATATATATGATTTAGTGAGCATTACAGGTCAATACTATGTCTGATATTAAATATACTACCTACCCCTAAGAAAAAACAAACAGAAGTTCGCTGGCAGATAATGACATTTAATTTAATAATTAAGACCTTTGAAGAAGTGCTCAGCATCCAAGAAAAAAATTAAATCTTTCATAGAATATGGTGTCATTTCGTAAATTTGCTTTACAGAGTAACTGTGATAAAAGTAAGTAGCATCTAGTAATCAAAGGATTTTAATTTTTGACAATGCTTTGAAATGGATACTTGATAAAAATATTACCAAATAACACAGCCAGCTATACTTCATATTACACTGTAATTGAAAAATAACACAACAGACATGCTGTTAGATTACATATATACGTAACAGGCAGGTAACATTACCATGTAAGTGGGCTTAATGGGATCCCACAGAAAAGCTGTAAAGCCATACTGGTAGTCACTACAAAGACTTACTGAGTGTTACAATTGTGTGACACTGCAATACAATTTTAGAATTCTGGTACTGAGCTTATGACCTCATTCAAGTTTAACGTTAAAGCTTTCTTAACTCAAATACTGGTGTGTTTTTTACTTCAATGTCCCTAACAGGAGATGATACATATTTTAAGTGGTTTAATTCCACCATGTTACACTTTGATTTTTTTTTCCAGGAAATACCTTCCTTCTTTCCAGAGTTCATCAAAATATTATGTGGAAGTCACCTGGCACCAAAAGCTAGTCTGTATTATACCAAAACTGTACTGTTACATAATACAGGCTACAGCATGAAGTCTCCCAAACTATGTAGACACAACAACCTGATACAGTTTTGTACAAACCCTAATGGGTGTTTATTCAACAGGGTGTCTTTTCTGAAACAGTGTTGTTAGTAGGTATGTTGAAGTAACGCTTCTTAAAAAGAAAGTGACTGCATCTAGCATTCATAGATAATAAAGGTGGTACAGGTATGAAAGAGAAATTTGACCAGTTGACGTTCTATAAAATAAAAGCTAAATAGCCTGTCAAACAGCCATCAGCCATGGTACAAGTACTGCATTCACACACCAACACTGACTGGTGAATTAGTATCACAAGATGGGGACATAGCCCAGATGATCACTCACTCTTCCGCTGCTCAGTTCTGGTCTCAGGGCATTTATCTAACACCAGTAACTTCAAGCAAGCAGAATGACCACAAACTAAGCTTTCAGTATTGCCCTTGGCCAGGGTCAGAGAGATAACCAAGAAATATTATGCGTTTTGACTGCAAAATATGAAAGCCACCTAGGTACCACTTTTCAGAGATGAGAAAAGCAAGAACATATTTCTTCCTATCAGCCAGTTTCAGTAATTTCCCCTTGGTTATGGCATGCAAGCTGTCCCAAATGTGTCTGCTGGCGGCCACAGGTACAAATCAACGTTAGCCAAGAAAAACTTACATATTCTACTGTTGCAGATGGAAGCTTTACTGCACCGGATGTAAACTTTCATATGCTTTCGTATCAGAAAGTTGTCAAATACATTTATGATTTCATCTTATCTTAATGCCAGCACAAAAACCTCACGCCTTTCAACATGTTATGTAAGCTCTATCAAACTATACTTAGCTTTAATATTTGGGAGACAGCTAGAGACTGTTATCAGCTAATGGCAACCACAGTTATTCATTAACTCAGTAATACAAAGGAAAAGTAAAGCAATACCAGAAAAGGGAAAAATACCTTTTCTCTCGAAGCTTTCTTCTCTGACAAAACAAACAAGAGCAAGGAATTTTGTCACCTCTTTTAAATAAAGGACAGTTGTATTGTTCAGTTTTATGATTGCCATTGATTCTTTGTCGTAAGGAGTTCCAGTGCCATCATCTTTAAGCCTAAAAAACAATATTCAAACAAACAAGAAAAGGTAAGCCACCAGATGGAGCTAACAGAAATACTCCCACACTGGCTCTTTCACCAGGTAATCTCAAACTTCATGAAATTCTCATTTTAACCTTTCAGGGAGACTTTTCTTCAAACTACACACAATGCAAACTAAGAGGACATAAAGATTAAATCATTTACCCTATCACACACCGAATCTTAGATTTGGGGCTAGAAATTAGATTGTTTGATTGCCAAGTGCCTGAACTGGAGCCTCATTTTACCCTCTGTTAGTTAGCAGACATTTACCGCAAGGTTCTCTTATCACTGTGCTATATTATGACTTTATCTAAAACCTGTGAACCATTAAGTCTGTACTGGTAATTCCAAATCCAGTAACCTTGCTTGAACAGTGGCAGCTGACTGATAGTTTAAGCCATCATGAGACTTTCCTCATGAGATGTTGGCTTTTGCAACATCACATTGTGAAAAGAGATTTCTCCTTAATAGATGATGATCACTGTATTAGTTTTGTACCTTGTAATTTTACTCTCATTCCTGAATACACACACAGATCTTATCAAATGGGTTATCACCAACATCCCAGAACAACTAGTATCAATAATATATTAATGTAGCAAGTTCCACAGATGCTCCAGGAACAGAGGAAAAGAAATAAACTGTAATACCATGTCTTTAGACTATAGCTAAAAACATGGCAAGATTTCTGTTAATAAGTGCTAAATGGTTATACAATGACAGTGGTGAGGTGACATTTTGTTCTTGTACAGTTACTGAAGTGACTCAAAAATCTGAAACACACAATAGAATATATAAACTTAAGAAATTTTAGAAAGGTAGTCAACAATTTGTTGTTCTTTTGAAGTTCTAATGCTTATTGCACAGCTGCACTAGGATTCTCCCTTGTACTCTCCAAGTGTGCAAGAAGTCTGTCAGTAGGTAAGATTGCAAGGCTACCAAAGCCTAGCACATTCTAAGCATGCTGCAGTTTAGCCTCCAAGTCTAATGCATCTTAATGCACTAAATCTTAATGTGTCCCTGCCTTTCCCATGAATAGCTTGCATTACATTTGGCCAAGAGCCAAGCCATTTAAAACATAACTTGCAAGGAGATGTACATGCTACCCCAGGAGATCTCCAGTTACTAATGTATAAGGAAGAAAAACTGGGGGGGGGGAGAAATAAAATCAAACCACAAAGGTCATGCAGGGAAAAGAGGAGAAACAGAGAAGTGAACGAAGAGTGAAGCAGCATTCTGAGGCCAGCAGAGGCCACTAGCTATTAAAGTAAACAATAGGGCCCCACTTTATTTTTTAATGGAAGGCATCATTCTGTTGCCTTTTCCCTGGGGAACAAAAAGATAATGTTTCCTTTTTTTTAAGTGGGGTACTTCCCACTCCTTCCTCCAAATAAAAATATTACCATAAAAAGAGGACAGTGTTCACAAAAAAGGCTGGGCAGGGGAACGGCGCTTGTTGCTGGCAAGGGATCTGTTCCTCTAAGGCCTGCCACTTCCTCCTTCTCTTCTGTCCTGACAAATTACTCTGGCAAATTATACCTTCTCATATTGTTTATACCCACATCACTCTAATTTTGGGGCCATTCAGATTCTAGGTACAGAGTTTTATGAAAAACATTAACAATTTACTTACCCATATATACAAGAAATGTCAATCACAACATCTATCATATCACAGCAGAGTTCGTAAGTTTGCATATCCACTGGAGTACTGTCCGTTGCAATATAGATCTTACTGACTACATCAAATAAAAATGCTTTTTCAATCCCAGAATTCTATTTAAGAAAAGAAGAAAGAAGAATAAAATAGAAGCCATGTCTTCAAATTTATACCAACCTTATTGGTTCCCCTACTTGCCTGTTACACAAAAAAACTATGCTGAGGAAGTGGAAGTTATACTGCAATCAAGCTCATTTTGAATGAACTGTACATATAGCACTGTCATTTGTAGCAAATCTTGATGCTCACAAACCTTCAAAGTTTCTGACTCTGAGCAGACATAACACCAACTTACACTCCTAAACTTCCCCTGTCTGGAAAACATCTGGAGAGATTACATTTATTTTCAGTGGAAAAGGCGGGGGGTGTGTGTGTGTAAATCTTCCAAGATCAGGCTTTGGGGGTTTTCATTGGAAAAATGGACATAAAAAGAGAGCTGTAGTTTAAAGGTATTCTAGCTGGACACGTAAGAAGATAGAAAGCAGGAAAAGAGAAAGTTGATGGACAAAGAAAGCAGCAGTGTTTGGGAACTAATTTCTCAAGGAAATTGAGAAATTGCCTCATCAGGGTCTGTAGCTGGTTTACTGTCTGACTCCTCAGAACCTCTTTTAGGATCACAGGAGCAAGCCCAATATTTTGATGGTGCTCTTTCAGTTTTCATGTAGCATTGGTGGTTAAGGCCACGTTTATAATGCTAAGGCTTGCTAATGTGATGACAGCTATGTTCCTGTCATCCTGCCAAGCTGATTAGGACTCTCTCCATACTGGAGATGTATCATATTCGCAGCTCTCAGAGGCTAACAAG